GTCTAAAAGGATTATAACAATTTTTTTTTTTTTTTTTTGGTGGTACTGAGGATTGAACCCAAGCCCTTTGCAATGAGCTACGTCTAGAGTCCTTAACATTTTTTTGTGGGGGGAACCTGGGATCAAACTCTGACCTGTGAGCTTGCAAGGTAGGTGGCAGAATCACTGAATCAAATCCCCGGTCCCTTTTTTAAAAATCTTGAGACAAGGTCTCACTAAGTTGCCCAGGCTGGGTGTGAATTTGCAAGCCTCCTGCTGCAGCTTCCTAGAGTGCCAGGATCACAGGCATATGCTGAGGGTAGATGACTACTAAACTCATTTTTATATAAATGTTAAAATTTCTTAATCATGTACAAATCGTTTGGATATAAAAATGCAACAGTACTAAGTAGAACACATTCTTGAATTTCAGGCTACAGTATACGCCAACCATATAATATCTCACCTTGGCTAGAAGGGTAATTTATTTTTTAACTTACTACCTCTAAACTACCTTCTTCTTTCTCTCAAAATAAGAATGTAACTGAAGAATTTTGTATCACACAAAATATCCGCCTGTGGATTTGTGTTTCATTTATAGAATTAAGCTGTTATCTTTGGACTTTCAATTTCAAATTCAAACACAGCTTGCTGAAAAAAAAAATGGTATCTATGACAATGGCAACAGCTATCCAGTAATAGCAAGCTCATATATTATAGAAAAATTCTACTGTACTGAGACCTACTTAAAGGAAACATTACTTAAATCTTCTTAAAAGAAACCTGAACTTATAAATGGTAATAATGGTCCCTGATTCAATCACTAAATATTCTCTAGTTTATCTGCAATTTAAAGCAGAACAGATTTGAAACTAGAGCAAGCCTATTCATTAATCATTACTTTTTTAACTCTGTACAGTGACAGGTTCCTCTATCTGTTCCTGCATATGGAAGTGTTGCTGGGGTTTAAACCACACACACTCAGAGTTTTCTAGATGAGGCCTCACATCCAGGTTGATGCTTACTCTATGCCTATACATTTCTTTCAAGAAATACTTTTTTTAAAAAAATCTAGTGGATAGGAAATACTAGAGATTGAGAAAAGCAATATATCTTCTTGTAATTTCTTGTCCCCCTGCAATTGTTTCTATAAAAGAATATATGATGATGGAAAAATGACTCATTTCACAAAAATATGTTTATAAGCAACTTTCTAAGAACATAGCCCTTTTACTAAGGCAGGAACACTTGTATTTACAACACAGAACTGAAACACCTACATGTTTTTCTGTATAACAAAGCATGTTTCTCTTGGCTGAAACAATGTTTTATCTTAGTATTTGAGCAGGAATTTATAAATAGGTCACCCTTGATATTTTGGCCAGAAGGACATTTAGGCATTAGTTTTGTTTTAGGGCAAACAGTGAAGTGTAACAGCATAAAACATGTTAGTCTTTTCACTTTTTCACATGCACACAAAGTTACCATCTGAAGTCTTCTTTAATTCAGTTTTCAGTTTTTCCTGGTCTTCTACTAGTTTTTTATTTTCTGCTTCCAAAACACGTTCCTCATCTGGGCTTTGGGTTTTCAAGATCTACCAGAAAAGGGTCGGAGGAAGAAGTAAGCTTAGACTGCAACAGCCAGATACCCTTACAGGAATGAAGTGAAGTAACCTGTCTGAATTTATTGATCTTTATTTAATTCTTTGTCCTTTTTTAATATTTTTTAATTTTCTACAAGGTAGTTTTTCTAAAAGTGACTTGATATTTGGCAAACACACACAAAATATTTCTTCCTATGGTAAAACCTCTGAAATGAAAATAAGAATTCCTGGTTAGGCTACAATTATAATTATGTTATCAAATCATTTAGATAATATGAATCCTTCTTCCTCAATTAAATATGTGATATAAACCTAAGGAAAGAAAAACAGTTCTGATGCTGATATTAACTGGAAGGCTGTCATGTTCTGACTGAGGAGCTACTTAAGACTATTTTTGTATTGACAAATTCTACATTTGAATTTAATGTTGTCAGGGTGAAGATGGTAAGGGGAAATAACAGGGCCATCTCTATGGTTGGAAAATTCTAATTTTCATTCAACTGTCTCCAAATTACTTTTATTTAGTTAATACTTTATAATGTTCTTTATATTTTAAGATCTATTCTAGCTTTAAAACTATTTGTAGCCTTTCTTTGCTAGGCAAGAAGAAAATATCTGAATAATGAAACAACTGACTGAAATAAAAACACCACGGAGAAAGGTAAATTAATGTTTAAAAAATAATATATGTATCCACCGGCATGCACTGTTATCAGGCAACAACCTGATACTGACAACTTCCATAATCAAGTAAAAGATCAACTCAGGAGAATTTTAAATAGAACTAAAGGATAATTTCCACTACAAAGTGGTTCATTTTTCTAATATAAGTGGATACATTAAACAAAACAGAAGTTTATGGAGCAATCACTAATGTAAATATTTTATAATGTATGATAATATTAGGGATGAAAATATAAAAGAAATATGGCTTCCAATGTCAAGTAACTTCAATCTAGTAGAAAGGATAAGGCCAGCATAAGATCAAATATAATACTATAATGGTATAACAAAGTGGGCTGCTCAGAGCAGGAATTAAAGCTTTAATGAATATATCATGCAATCTTAATTAGTTTTTTAGAACTAGGAAGTTGAAATCTATTCTAAACAGAAGGGACCTCATATCTTTTGAAACAAAAATTTTTTCAAAGTGCAGGACAAGGAAAAAAAACCCCCCAAACTTCTTTTAATTTGTTGCTTAGTTTAAGTTCAAAATAATTCTAGCCATTATTTCACTGAATCTGGTTCATACAATCTTTGGTGATTACCCAAACTGGAAGAGAACCACTGAGCTGCAGGAATTTTACAGTGACTGGTTGAATTATTGTGCCACTGACTTAGAAAACTTGGCTTTGTGTCAATCTAGAAATAAGCTATCATTACTGCACCTGTAAGATTGTCCAGATTCATTAGGTGTAGCTTCATGCTGGAGAAAGGTCAAGAGACCTGGAATCCAAAATTCAATAGCTACCATCTACAAGAACAGTAGTGGTCACTGTCCCACCTACCCTATCCCACCTTGCTGAGTGGCTGGGAAAGAGTCAGTGAGAAGTAAAGCTTCATTCTGTCATTTTAGAGTCATTAAATTAAATGTTGATTAGTCTTTCACCATTATTACATTTATTTAACTAAGTATCAAAACAGAAATAGGTCTTAGGCACAAATAAATCATTTTATAGGCTAGCACAGGAGCTGAATGCATGAAATGATGCGGTTACAAGAGTAGATTTAGAGCCAAGCTGTTCAGGTTCAATTTTCTGTCAATTATTGACTGTGATTTTGTGCAAGCTACTTAACCTTCCCGTGCCTCTGTTTCCTCATCTACAAAATGCAGATAATAAGGTATAAACCTCATGGGACTGTTGTGAGAACTGAAAGTTAATACCTTAACTGTGAAGCATTGAAGGTGATGCTTGGCATGGTGTTGACTATTATTTATACATAAGGAACCTGGAAGCTCAGAACATATGGAGGGAACCTGCCCCAAGTCATACTGCTAATTACTGGGAGGGCTGGGACTAGCACCCATGTCTCTTGGTTTTCAGGATAATGCTCTTTCACTAGGCCATGCACCTCTGATAGAGAATAAAGAGGTATTTTAACAATTTCATTCTTCCTTAGCTAATATTTTGAAGCCCACAAGAAGTACTCAGATTGGGGGCCAGGAATGTAGCTCAGTGGTTCCTCACCTGCCTGGCAAGCACAAGATCCTAAGTTTGAAACTTGGTACCAGAAAACTGACATTCTAACCTATGGCCTTTATTGTCACCTTATTGGTCAATTAATTCCACTATGAGCACTGATTGTTCAGTTCATAGACTTATTTTCCACTGTGTACTGGGGCTCCAGTCTAGCATACCTGTACTTCTAGCATACCTGTGCTTTCTCTGATCATGTAGGATTGGGTCACAGCTGTGTAGGGAGCAGGCAACCATGATAGCATACGATCAAAGGAAAGGAAAAAAAGAAAGGAGGGAAAAAACCATGGGAGGTTAAGGAACCAATGACCACGAAATAAATATCCTTACAGGGTAACTGGGTTTTTTGGTTGTTGTTGTTTCTGGTGCTAGAAATTGAACTCAGGGCTTCAAACATGCTAGGCAAGTTCTTTACCACTGAGCCACATCCCCCATCTAGGAAACTGGCTTTTGGTGACAGTTTCAAAAATGTTTTGAGGATGGTGATTTTTTTCAAGAACAAGATGTATTAAAGTACATTAATTAATGGTACATATGGCAAAAATAGTAGTATCAAAACTTTATAAAATACTTTCCCTTTTCTTAGAGTGGAAAATAGGAAAACAACTGAAGAGAGAAAAAGCAGTATTCTAATAGTAGTTGAATTTCATTACTGTAAAACAATGTTCATAATTCTAAATCAATAAGGGTACATATAAGCCTTTCCATAAATACAAGGCTATGTATCTTTGAGTTTAGTTGTCATATAGTAATCAAAGCTTTTAGTACTGTGGTTTTATTTTTACCCTGTGAAATGAGATTAAACCTATAAGGTTTACCTGTTATTTATTGAAGTAATTTCAAGGTACAACAAAATTATTATGTTGCTGAAACATTCCACAAAAAACAAAAAATAACAGTTTGTTTGATTTTGAATATAGAAAATATCAACACCTTGATTTCTAGGAATTGTTTTTAGAAAAGGAAATTTACAAGCCATCAATAGACGGTTTTAAAAAACAGCACAAAGCAAATCAAAATATTAGCTGGTTCTTATACTTTCAAAGTAAAGCAAAATATTAGCTGGTTCTTATACTTCCAAAGTTTACTTAAATTATGTTGGAAATGGACAACTCGAAACACTTTTGAATTCTGTTTTTATGAAAAGAGGTCTTTAATTTTTTGTTATAGACTAAGTGAGACAAATACTATAAAAAATAAAACATGGGGTTTGAATAGGTGATCTTGATAGTGTAGCGTCATTCAACTTTTTGCAGTTAGTTTGCCTCATTTAATAGATTTTAGAAAGCTTTATATTGTGCCACATAATAGCTAACTTTTAGAACTGATGAAAGGTAGTGCTTATAGCTCTTGTGTCAGAGGCTGGGCTTCTGGACTTAAACAAGGATTTTAATTCTCTATGGTAGACTCAAAAATACTTCTTACATAACAGTGTAATGTATAATGCTGTTTGCATTTCATTATAGAAAAACAATCATATTCCATCATTTTAGGAACACTTTTAGAAAATTTCCCTTACTTCTGAATAGTTCCGTTGAGTTTTTTTTTTTTTTTTCCTAAGAAGCAATAGTGAAACGTACAGGCCTTAAAATGAACTAAAAACACTACTATGAGATCTGACTCCTAACTTTTAAATTTAAGAAAAAAATACCTAAAGTAATTTTGCATCTTTCATTTTTCCATCTGTGGTTCTTTTTAGTCAATGGGGTAAAGGCACCAGTACACGATCCACTCTCCCCTAAATGTCAGGGAAAGATGGCATCAGGTTCTCAGAGAAGAGATATCATTAGCATCATCAGATTAAAGACTTTAAATGTGATATGCAATCATCGATCTAGCAGCAATAAATTCCCTCTGGTTTCTAAATAAATGATCTAACTGAAAAAGAAACAAATAGAATTGTAGAGATTTAGGTGTGAGATAAAATTAATAGTAGTGCAGGGAGGACTGAAATTCACACTCCCTTGAAGTCAAAGGAAATAAGTCCAATGGCATTAATTTACTGTTGGAAAAAAGCAAATCTAAAGAGTAAAAATACTTTTGAAATAACCATTCAATAGAATCATATTGCTATTTGTGGTCATTTTCTGCCAATAAATCATGAAAATACTCCTTTTGGTGTTGAAAAATAATATATCACTTCTTTGGAATATCAACAATATTTATATAAATTATTACAAAGAAAATGAAGTACCTGTTTTAGTTTTTCATTCTCTTCCATGAATCTTTTGGCAGCCTTATTAGTATTTTCTGCTTGAGTTTTAAGTACTCCTCTGTTTGCCAGTTCTTTTGCCAGCTGAGTAATAAGTGTAACCAGACGTCTCAACACCCTGAGGAGAAAAAAATTCAGAATAGCTCACAACCAGATGGTCCAGTGCCTTCCCAGTTAGGCAGAGGTGTGGTGGTGAAGATGATATTAAAAATGGAACACATTGGAAAAAAAAAAGACAAATGTAAGTCTCAGCTAAAACAAGCCTATGTCTCATTGCTTTAGAATCTTTGTTAGAAGACTATAATTGGAATATCAGGGGAATATACAGGTCCAGTGGCACTTTTCTCTTTTCATTTTTGTGGTTCTAGGGGCACTTAACCTAGAGATTTGTGCATACAGTGGTACTTACTATTTTTCCTGTGGAGGCCACCAGCTGGTAACAGTAGAAACAGGAGAATTATGGCAAGGTCAGGAAGAGAAAAAATTTTTTTGGCCTTTGTCAGAATTTTCCAAAGAGCACTGTATAAGGTTGGCCAAGCCAAAAAACTGCTCATTCATATGTTTATGTGTAACTTCTAGTGTTTGAAACTGTAATTAACTGCTTCAATTATTTATTCAGCAGGTATTTCCTGAGGAACTGTTAAGTGTTAAACACTGCATCAGGTGCTGGAGACACCACAGAAAATGAACTTAGTGTAGAAAACGACCTTAAGGAGTTCAAATTCTAGTGAGGAGGCATGGCTTTAAAACAGTATTATTTGTGAATGATACCAGAAAGTTACGTATATACATATTCTAAAAGAGCGGAAGACCCATCTGCTTTGGGAGGAATGATGGCTACAGAAGGATTCCCTGAGAAAGAGGCTGAGGAAGAGTGGGAGTTAGCCAGGTGAAGAGGAAAGGAAGAGTGCTGGCAGAAGAAATGGCTGCACGAAGCCCTTGACGTAGGAAGGAGCTGGGCATGTCATAACACTCCGTTTGCTGCAGACAGGAATGAATAAATAAATGGTGAAGGTGAATGGGGTGGAATTGTATTAGACACATCAGAAAACAGTGTGAGAGAAGACTCCAGAGAGAGGCGGGGGCCCCGGGCATTCAAGGACCGATGGAACTAGCAGACCTATGAGCTGTAGCTATTATTCATTTGAGAATATAATTTGAGTTCTTTCATGAAGATGTTAGTTCAGTAAAATGACTGTGACATAGGTAGAAAAAAATGAGAAAGAAAAACCTAAGTAATGTTTTAAAATTAAAAGTGTGCTTCTACTTACAGCCAAAAAAATAATGAAAATCCTGAAATGTAAAGATTTCTTTGAGATCTGAAAAGTTTCATCTGGGTATGTTCATAGGCGCTAGTTTTAGCGGTTGAGATCTTCTCAAGGGAATGAGCATAGGAATATTTCCTCACTTCTCTGACAGCATCTATCAGAAAAACAGAAAACATTGCTTTTGGTTTTTAAGAATATAAAGTTATTACAAACAATTTTAATATAATTTTAGAATAAATTATCAAACTTTTCAATGATGGCATTTGGGTAGGGGTTTCTATCTTTCCTTTGGTAGCTGGGGAAGTAACAGCTGCAAGTAGGTACTTTGCAAAGGGATATTAGTGGCAGATTACAAACTACTATGGTATTTTACTTTAAATCACTCATATAGAATTACCATCACTCTACTGCTGTCTTTTGCTAGTCTACAAACTATTTCATCTTTTACTCTACCCCTTGTGACCAAATTTAACCTATTAACAGTTAATAGGTATAAATAACAATTCCATGAGACACTATTTCTCTTATAGTACTAGCATTTTATTATGTCTATTAAATAACTGAGATTTTACAAATAGTTGGTTCCTTTGAAATTTCCTGGTATAGATTTATTAAGATGGGATTTGACCTATGGTGGCACATACCTCCCCAACTAGCAAGTGGTGGAACTTGCTACTGGACATGCTCAGATAGCTGGTCCTTTGATGCACTTTTAGATCTAGGGAACTGTTTCTTTCCAGCAGAAAACAGAAAGGAGTTTATGAGGATCTATATTTAGTGCACTCTTAGTCACTGGATTCTTCCACGTCCTGCAGATCTGCCTTAGATCTGCCAATAGAGGCAAAAACAAGCTATTCTACTGTAACCCTTTCACATGACCATCAGCATTCTTGGGAAAGAATTTTGGCCACAAAAGGAAAAGAACTTCTGTTAAGAGAACTGAAGCCATTTTGACTGTTTGACTTTATATTTTATAGCGGCTTTACTGCAATATAATTCACATACCATAAAATGACCTTTTTAGTATATTCATAATACTAAATACTTCTGTGACTATCACTATCTAATTTCATAACATCTTCATCATCCACTAAAGAAACTCTATATCCATGATTCCTCTCTCCAATTCTTTTTTTTTTTTTTGGTACCGGGGATTGAACTCGGGCCCTTGCGCTTGCAAGGCAGGCGGCGAAACCACTGAGCTAAATCCCTGGCGCTCTACTCCAATTCGTAACAACCATTCTGTCTGTACTGATCTGCTTATTCCGTACACTACATATAAACGTATTACTACGCTAGTATTTCCTTCACTTAACGTAATGCTTTTTCAAGGTTCATCTGTTATAGTATACACAGTATATATCATTACTTTTTATGGCTAAATAATATTCCATTGTACAGATACAACACTTTTTGTTGAATGGATATATTCATCAGCTGATGGACATTTGGGTTGTTTCTACTTTTTGACTCTTATGGAAATGCTGCTAGGAATGTCCATGTACTCATTTTGTGTGGTCATGTTTTCATTCCTCCTGGTACATACCTAGGAGTAGAACTGCTAGGCCACATGGGTACTCTTTCTGTTTAACTTTCTGAGGAAATTTTTTCCAAAGCAGCTGTACCATTTTACATTCCCACAAGCAGTACAAAATGGTTCCAGTTTCTCCACATCCTCAGCAACATTTGTTATTATCTATCTTTTTTATTAGAGACAACCTAGTATGAGTGAAGTGGCATTTTCTGATGACTAATGATGTTGAATGTCTTTTCAAGTGCTTACTGACCATCTGTCTGTCATCTGTAGAGAAACATATATTCAGATCCTTCATCCATTTTCAAAGTAAGTTATTTGCCTTTATTTGTTCCCCAAATTTCTTTTGCAGATTTTTTTTTTTCAAACTGAGATTGAACATTCATCACACATAGTTTAACTCCTCTTTGGTCTTTCGATGGAAAATGCCTAGCTATAAAGATTTAGTATTGGTTTAATATAGTAGCAGGAATCCTTCATACTTTGACTTTCATTATTTGGTTTTAAGAAGATCATGTATTAATTGGGTTCTCCAGACAAACAACACCATTAGAGTGTGTGTGTGAAGAGAGGGAAAGAGGACTGAAGAAAGAGGTTGTGTGGGTCAGGGTTGGTTGGTTGGTTGATTTTAATGAAGTGCCTCACATGAAGGCTTGGTAAGTCCATAATCTTCAGGTCAGAACTGCAGGCTGGAGACCCAGGGAAGAGTTAGTTTGCCAGCGGAATTTCTTCTGCTTAGGGAAGTCAGTCTTTGTCCTGTTAAGGCCTTCACATGACTGGATAACACCCTTCCATATTATGGAGAGTATAATTTGCTTTGGTCAAAGTCCACTTATTTACATATTAATTTTACCTAAAATTAACAGAAATATTCAAGATAATGTCTGATCAAATATCTCGGCACTGTGGCAGACTCATGTTGAGATATAAAATTAATTATCAGAGACAATGACTAAGATTTCTGTAGTATAAAGTTTTACGTGTTTTGCAATTAGCCCTCCAATTATGTGTCTGAAAAGATTTCTTTTATTTAGATGTTATGAGTTTTCTGCCTCTCTTCATAAATTTTAGAAACAACTGGTCAATATCCATAAAAATGCCTATAGGGATTTTGACTGGGACTCTGCAGAATGCACTGATTGATTTTGGAAGAATGAATATTTTAATAATATTGAGTCTTCCTACTGATGAAAATATCTCCATTTATTTTGATCTTTTAAAATTTCGAACAATGTTTCTGTAGTTTTCAGTATAGAGCTCTTATATATAATTTATAAAGACTATTTTAGGCTTCTTGGTAAACTTATAAAAGGAATTTCTAAAAATTCTATTTTCCATTTGTTTAGTATTTGTAGCATGGACACAAAATTAATTTTTGCATTTGACTTTATGTGACTCCACTACATTAATTTCTTTTACATAGTACCTTCCTTGTAGATACTTAAGGGGTTTCTACCAAAACAATCATATCAGCCAGATGTGGTAGTACATGCCTACAATCCCAATACTGAGATAGCAAGATCACAAGTTTGAGCCCATTCTGGACAAGTGAGAGTCTGTTTCAAAATAAAAAACAAAACGAACCCCCCCCGCCAATAATTTTATCTGCAAATAAGGGTTGTTTTACTTCTTCCTTTGTAAACTTATCCCTTCTACTTTCTTTTCTTGTTATCTTGATTAGGACATCTATTACTTAATGAATACAAACAGTAAAACTTAATATCCTTGCCTTATTCTCAGTGTTCTGGGGAAGTTTTCAATATTTAAAAAAGTATGATGCTAGCTTGAGGCTTTTTTGGTAGGGCAGATTCTTCACAATAAGGGATTTTCCTTCTAATCCTAATTTGTTAATTTAAAAAAATAAAGAGTGAATATTATTAAGGTAGAAAGCAAGATCAGTCATTTAAAAATTTTTTCCCTAATAAACATAAAAACTATACATTTTCCTCTAAGCAGTGCTTTAGTGACATACCACAAATTTTATATATTTTCATTATTCACTTAAAGTATTCTCTAATTTTTCTTGTGTGTTCTTTGACCCAAGGATTATTGACAAGTATCTTGTCTGACTTCCAAACACATAGTCATTTTCTTGGTATATGTTACTGTTTTCTATTTTCTAGCATCTGTATGGATTGGGTGATGTACTATTTTTTTTTTTTTTTTTTTTTTTTTTTTTTTTTCCTTTGGTACCGGGGATCCAACTTGGGTCCTTGCACTTGCGAGGCATGTGGCGGCACCACTGAGCTAAATCCCTGGCCCATGTACTAGCCTTCTTTAAATCTTTTAAAAATTTGAGACAGAGTCTCTCTAAGTCAAAGTTGCCTAGGCTAGGCTCAAACTCGTGATCTTCCTGATCCAGCCTCCCAGCGAGTTGGGTGTAGGCTATTGTAACTGACTAATTATTTTACTTTTTAAAGGGTAAGTCTGCTTGGCTTAATTTTTACTTTAGTAATTTTTTAATTCCTGGTACACAGGCTCTATTCCTAAGGAACAAATCTTTATATAATTTTAGTAGAAAAATTTCAAAGTCTTTACCATGCTAATTACTAATATAAGGCTCAAACTTCAAAGTGTCTCTTCTTGGTAGGCAGCAGGCAAAATTGCTGGTCAGTTCTTGCTGCTTCCCAGCTGTTAATGTCCCCACAAGCTCCCTGGAATCTTTCCTACATATCCATGGTTAAAGAGTCAGCCAACGATTTGTGTGTGGGGGGTGTTTTTACATAATCTTGGGTTTCCTTTCTGGGGTTCTCGCCGTCTTGGACATTTCCCCTTCATTTTTGGCCTTTCTCATAATTTCAGAGCAGCCACTCGATTTTGAGTTGTAGCTGCCCATGCCATGTAGACTGTAAAGTGGTTGGAAAAGAAGCCATAAAAAGCGGGGCAGGGTGGCACATGCTTGTAATCCCAGTACTTGGGAGGCTAAGGCAGGAGAATCACTATGAATTTGAGGCTACCTAGTGAGCTACAGTCCAGCCTGAACTACAGTGAGGCCCTGTTTCAACAAACAAACAAACAAGTTATAAAAGAGTGATCACATCCAGTGTGATTTCCTCTGTAAGGACTAACCTCTTCTTTCTGCTTGCTTTTGGTTATACTACCAGGCATCAAATACTTTTCTCACATTTTACCTAGGGTTCAGAATTTTTAATCATGAAAGGGTTAGTCTAATATAAATTTCCTTTGTCATTGCTAATACCAGTCTTTTTTTTTTTTAAATTCACTTTATTGACTTTTATTATTGTGGTACTGGGGATTGAACCACGGACCTTTGCACTGAGCTATGTCTGCCAGCCGTTTTCCTATTTTGTGATGGAGACTCGCTGAGTCACTCAGTTGCCCAGGCTGGGCTCAAACTTGGCAATCCTCCTGTCTCAGTCTCCCAGAGTTTTAACTGGGGTGAAATTCATATAAAATTAAATCAACCAGTTTAAACAACCAGTGGTATTTAGTATATCACATTATCAGGCAATCTACATCCATCTAGTCCCACATGACTATCACCCCAAACTAAAACCCAAATAATACACTCCAAAATTATAAAATTCTTAATTTTTTGGTTTTATAATTGTGTGTTGTTTTTGTTTCTGTCACTGAAGATCTTAGCTTCTAATAGTATTAAAACTTATTTGCTCTATGCTGCAACATACATAAAAGTTTTAAAATTTCTAACCATAAAACTACCAACTGAAGTTTTATATTTTATTACAATCCTTATTGTTCTTAAAATATGAGCTGCTTAAAAGAATTCTCTGTATCATATACTATTAATCTGATATACTATTTGATTTGTTTGTTCTAGTTTACTTTCAGTGCCAGAACTTGCTTTTTCCCCGGCTTCCTAAAATTTGTTTTAAGTTTTCTTTTTCTAACTTCTAGACAAGTTCAATATTGGTATTATCTGGTTTTTCAAAGTGAAGGTAGAACTGATTGCAAAGCAATCTAGTTTTATGTTTTTCTGAAGTAGTAGTGGTCCTTCATCATAACATTATATTTCTTTTATGAAAACTGGTCTGTATGTTTTATATATCTACTGGGATTCACTTGGCAAGTTCTATTTTCTGCAATATTACCCCAGGTTTTCACAAATGTATCTGCATAGAGTTACATAAAATGGTCTCTTTGATGGTCTTTTAAAAAAATGTACTCTTAGGGCTGGGGATTTAGCTCAATGGCAACTTGCAAGTGCAAGGTCCTGAGAAAGATCTCTGGTGGGGGGTGGGATGGGATGGAATGGGATGTACTCTTATTTATTTTTAATTTTTGTTACCGGGAATTAAACTCAGGATTTTGAGCTTGCGAGGCAGGTGCAGTGACACTGAGCTAAATCCCCAGCACTCTTTTATTTTTTTGATGGTACTGGGGAATGAATGTGGAGCTTTGTACATGCTAGGCAAACATTTTACCACTGAGCTGTATCACCAAGCTAAATCCCCAGATCTTTTCATAATTTTGAGATAGGACCTTACAAAGTTGCTAGGCTGGCTTCTTGTGATTCTCCTGCCTTCACTTCTTGAGTAGCTGGGGTTACAGGCGTGTACCACTGCATCTGGCTTCTTTTTTTTTTCCTGCTCTGCGGTATGGTGGACTGAACCCAGTGCTTTTGCACTGTAAAACACGCTGAGCCCTTTTTTCTTTTGAGACAGGATCTTGCTAAGTCACTAAGTTGCTCAGGTTGGCTCAAATTTGTGATCTTCCTGTCTCAGCTTCCCAAAGTGCTGGTTTCCTCTTGCTTATTAGCAGTTTTATGTTTGTCATTCTTCATATTGCTTCAATAAGATAGTAAGAGCATGCTGACCACAAAGGGCCAATGAAACAAAAAGGCTAGCCAGTATTAGTGAAGTTTGAGAATAAATGGTCATATAAACACACTTGTAGAGTAGATCTCTTTTACATTATATCAACGAAACTATGTCTGAAACATGGAATGAGGTCAGTGACAAGGGAAGGGCATGGCATGTAATCAGTTTTCTATAAATCATGTGAAAATAGTCTTTTTTTTTTTGTATTGGGGATCAAACTTGGGACCTTGTGCTTGTGAAGAAGGCGGCAGAACCACTGAGCTAAATCCCTGGCCCCATCTGGAATGTACTTCTGCTAATACTAAACATATCTGGGGAATGTATACATTTTAAAAATATATCAGTAAAAAACACATTTCCATGAACTGCCTTGAAATGCTTCCCCTTGTTTTGAACACACATATCCCATCATTCTTGTCACTTTCTGAAGCAGTTCTAAAAATGTTCTTTTTTGGGAAGTCTCTCTATGAGGTGTGATTAAAAAAAAATACAACACTACTGCTGCTGAATGCCATCCAATGGAAAGGGAGGCTCATAAAATCACTAGTGTTTCTTCATCTGCTTTATTCACCAGATATGGCACTGTGTGAGATCTGCCTGTTCCCCAAGGTCAAAATGACTACAAAGGGTAAATATTTTGAATCAATTTAGGACACTGAGGCAGCCATGACTGCGCAACTGAAGATACTCATGAAAGGGGACTTCCAAAACTATTTCAAAAAGTGGCAAGAATGATCAGATAAATGTGTCTGAAGTGAGGGTAGTATTCTGAGGGGGATTAATATCTTTCACTGTAATAAATTAAAAGGGTTGTTGAACATTCAGTTTTAATCACACCTTATACGTATTTTCCTGTTTCCTAATTTATTTATTTGTATGGGGGACCAAACTCGGGACCTTACGCTTGTAAGGCAGGCAGCAGCTCCACTGAGCTAAATCCCCAGCTCAACTTAAATTTATACACAACAGACATACATACAAGATTTGTCATTATTGGTTCCAGAAATATATACACTTTATAATAGTTACTTAATAGAGACAGATCAATAAGAAAAATGAAACACATTCCACAAACAAAATATAAATTAAGCTCAAGTGATCTACTAGATATGAATTACATCATTTTTAGTGGACTAGGATTCTGCATTATGCACTTCACATGTATTACTGCAATAAAACCTTAAAACACCTTAAGGAAGCAGGCACTATAACCTCACTTTGAGATAAAGATCCTGAAATTTAAAGGTAAGTTTTATCTGGCTGCCTTAACTACTCATGACGTTAATGGAGCAGAATTACCTATTCTACCTGCAGATGTCAGGATTCTGTTTTGTGGCACTCTTACTAAAGCTTTCCAGATTAAGAGTGGTTACAGTGTTAAGTGGACCGATTTTTTTTTCTTGGAGCTTAAAATTGGGATTCAGAGATGGCTAATTAATCTTTGTACTGTACACGGTTGAAGTGATAACATCTGGCAGCTGTGTGTGCCTATTTTCTGTCTCTAGGATGGAGAATCAAGAGTATACAGAGATAAGAATGAAGGAGACAAACACAGACATGCAAGGATAAGGGAAGGGCATTTCAGTTCTTAGCAGCAGTCCGTCCCTGGAATGTGGTTTCTTCTTTCCCTGCTTGAGCTGCTCTGAAACAACCTTGTATTTTATTACAATTTCTCCTTGATCAAGTGAGTGCAAATTGGCTTCTGGTATATGTAAGCAAAAGAACCTGAACCACAGCTCTCCTCTCTTACACAGTTGTAAGCAAAAGAACCTGAACCACAGCTCTCCTCTCTTACACAGGTAAGTAACAGCCTTCAGTACAAATTCTGAGGATAATTTTAGAGTATGAATTTCCTAATACTCCTCTAGAGCTAGCTGGAGATGCTGAGATTATCTCTTTCTCTTTATGTCACAGGTGAATAACTCAGAGAGATGAACTGACATTCCAAAGGTCATCTAGCTAGTTGAAGTAGGGTAGGGACCAGTTTTCTTTAACCTTACTAGTTTACTATGCTTTATTATATAGCTGGAGATTCACTGCATTAATATTAATAGACCATGAGACGAATATTGACATTCTGAAATGAGGCAAACCCATTCACTACGTGATATAATCACCTTCCTATTTTAACAATATTATACCCTCTTCACAACAGATGTTCAGTTTTATAAAGAGGATTGATTCTATTTCAGAGGTTGGTAGTGTGGAACATGCAATCAATTTTCTCACAAAATAGTGTCAAACAACCGTGGTGGTTATAGTCCCAGGTTGGCCCCAGTAAAACTTAACCCACAACATAACTCTGAGGGAATTCTGAAGGATAACATGTTCTGTAACATGTATCAAAAGCCAAACTGCTGAAGTGGACATGGTGGGACATGTCTATAATCCCAGCACTTGGGAGGCCAAGGCAGGTGAATCACAGTGAGCTTTAGGCCAGCTTGGGCTACATCATGAGTTCAAGGCCAGTCTAAACTACACAGAGATATTCTATCTCAAAAAAACAGAGGGGAAAGAAAAAGCTGACCTGCCAGGAAGTGATACTTCAAGAAATAGTCGGATGATCTTAGACAAGTCAATTTCTATGAACTCAGTATTACTTCCAAAAAACCATGGTGATTATTAAAACTCATGGACTTTTGTTTTGACAAGAACCTAAAGCTCTACTTTTAATTTCTAAAATAATGTTATCATGAAAATTTCAAATAGGATGAAAACCTATTCCTCATCCAAAAGGTATGGGACCAGAAGAGTTTTGGATTTAGGATATTTTTGGATTTTGGAATATGTGCACATACATATTAAGATACTAGGATCCAATCAAGAGTCATACTTTGCATCTACGATTCTTTTTTAGAACCTAAAGAACCTATTTCTTTATTTCCTAAGAGCGCTAGGATACCACTGTAACAAAGAACTGTGTAACTAGTAACCATGAGAAATAACTGCTGGCAACTCTGAAAAGCCTGGCTATGCCTTGATGTAATTGATGTAATCTTTAAACAATCTAAAAGATGTTAAGAACCTCTGCACTCTCCAGAAATTTTTGCTTCTGCATGTAGAGAAGTATCAATTGTGTATCAACATATCAGTATCTCCTCTACTATCAGTACACTGCATAAAGTCAACTGCATGTCAACAGCAATGTCTATAATTAAAAACCAAGGAATTCATTAAAAAAGAACCAGAGTTATGCATATTCAAAGGAGGGAATTTATTACTTACCTAGAAATAGAACAATCAATAGGACTATAATTGTTAGGAAAGCCTTGTTCCAAAATGTTGCAATTTTACCCCAGACATTAAATGACAAAATCTTCTGCCATCTGTTAAGCAATACAATTATATTAGGTATAAAAATAAAGTAGGTTTTGAAATAGTGAAACAACATTTTAGTACAGTAAAAGAGTTAGAGAAATGTAATTTTAATATTGATTAGTTCTTTGATATGACATAGAATATCTAATAAAATAGAAAACAACTCTTTTAAGTTTAATAATCTTATATTGTTAAACTTTTGCCTGATGCTTAAACATTTTAATGTGAAAATAACTTTTAAACATACATGAGCAAAACCTTACCACAAGGTACAGGGCGTGGTGGTGCACACCTTTGGTCCCAGCACTCAGGAGGCTGAGGCAGGATGCCATGAGTTTGAGGCCTTCCTGAACTACACAGTGAGACTCTCTCTGTCTCAAGAAACAAACAAAAAAACCCCACAAAAAACCAAAAAGCAAAAACACAAAACCCCAAACCCAAACCAAAAAAACTTAAAAAAGGTATTTTAAGAGTCAGAAATGACAGTCTACTTATATAACAATTAGCAACATTTCAGGTGTAGGTGGCTTATTAAACTGCACATTTATTTTGTGTAGTACATTTTTAATATCTTCAGGTAAAGGAGTTTCTCTACTTTAACCATAAGGTATGTAAAAAAATTATCTCACACACAGACATATATAGCCAGGGATTTAGCTCAGTGGTTCTACCACTTGCCTCGAAAGCACAAGGTCCCAAGTGTGATCCCCAGTACCATAAACAAAAAACAAACACATATATAAAGGTAAAAAAAGTTGTGTATACACACACACACCTTGGTTAATGTTTATGTTTGTATATACCTATGTAATTTTCACATATGTATATATAATCATGTGATTTGCCTTCTACCCAAATAAAGATCTGAACACAGAGGAAATGAGATGGGAACATAAATAGTCTAGATGGATTGAAGAGCAACAGTAAGTTGGGATATAAACTCAAGCAGTGATTTCTCAGCATGTGCCTTTAACCACTGGGTTATCTGAGAAAAGACCGGCAATTAAAGGAAGACTGAGGTCTTTTCTTTGAAGACCATGGTGATCCATATAACAAGGGTAAAGATGTTAATATACACACTGCAGGGACATACTGTAAATTTACCATATTTTCTTACTTTTATTTGTATATGAGAGCATTGATATCATGTGCATATATATACATATCTAATAGATACTTGATCAAGATGGGTAAAAAACTAATTGGCAGGAAGAAAAAGAGTGATCTATAATTTATGAATCACTTTGATGGAGAAAAAGATCAACTTAGAAAAGATGCTTCAAATCCTTATGCCTTCTTTATAAATGAAATGTTTACACAAAAGATTTTTTTTTTCAATATATGGGGTTCTTTTGTTGTAAATACTATCAGAAAGGAAAACAGGTGTTATTAAACATTTCAAAGAAGAGTCAGTGTGAGGAACTGAGAGCACTGGACTAAAAGCCATACTTTTCTGTGGATCAGTGAGGGGACCTCAGCCTGGTCATCTGCCCTCTCAGGAGGTTGAGGCAAGTGGATCACTATGAGTTCGAGACCAGCCTGGGCTACATAGTGAGTTCCAGGTCAGTCTCAACTGCATAGTGAGACCCTGTCTCAAAAAACGAACAAACAAACAAACAAACAAACAAAACAAATGTGTTTCATCATCCACACTATCCAATTCCTGGATCTAAAACTAAACTCCTAGTGAGTACATTGTTATAAGGATAAAGTGAGTCAACGCTTAAGAGTAAAATGTTTAGTACTAATTAAAGACATGGTTTGATAAGTTCATATCCAGCCCTTTTTAATATACATTCATTAATTCTGGGTGAAACACTGTAAAATGTGGTAAAATTGCCATTCATGAAACTATTTCTTGCTTACGTAAGGCCAAAACTAAGAATATTTTTTTGTTTTCGGTTTCTAAATTGCCATTTCATTGCTTCAATTACACATTTTTGTACCCATGCTGTACTGCAAACAGTTTATCCACTTATTTTTATTTACCCCACTGCTTCAGTTCAGGGTTATAAAAGATAAAATCTGATGACACGACAGGATAGGTGTCAGAAGTACAAGCACTGTTTTAGTGTATCGGTAATCAACAGACACAAAAGCGCTGGGCTCTTTTCCTTTGAGAAGTGAGAAAAGAATGGCTTCATGTGTACACATAATTATGCAAAACGATATTTTAAAAGAGCACCTTTTATACAGTGGGCGCTCAGAACTTTTTATCTCAACGTCTTTCCTATCACTCTCCGCAGGCTGCAGGAGCTCATCAAGCATTTACTGTTAACGACAGGAGGGTTTCCTACCTCTGAGGAGGAATGAAAGGTACACAGAAGAGTAAAATGAGTCCTATTTCGGCATACAGAAAGGTTGCAACTGCCACCCACTGGATTGTCATTTTTGTCTTCGCACCTAAACAGAGAAACGCTTATTTTACTTCTCTCCTCGGAAGAAACGAGGTCAGAGGCCCCGGAGCGCGGAGTCCGGGCCGCCGGCGGGATCTCTCCGGAGGCCGTGCCTCCCGCCTTCGACCCCGGGTCCCCCAG